TGTGCTGAAGAAGGAATAGGTTTCTACAAATGTTCCATTAGTTCACTCAAATGCCAAAGCATGCAGTCGCTGGAAATGTGTCTCCAGCTTGGTTATTTTACGTGTTTCAAATATGGTTATTTTTTGTCTGAGCCTTGCCAAAGTGACGCTCATCCGCCTTCGAAGCTGGACATTACAGTCATTCTTGATGCGTCGTCTTTGAAAAGGTTGATTCCCAACTTTGATGCGAACGCACAAAATGCCGGGGAGAGATTTCCGTGAGAGCTCATTTAATATAACTGACTTCATTCAGGAATTGCCGACGTGACGTCCATTATAGTCTGCTGTCTCCTTCGCATAAACAGTCAAGCCAATTTATTGGGTCCAGACTTCAGACCTTTGTTCCTATTTTTCGGTATACTCGCCACCTCATCCTTTGTTGCACATATGATTGGAAATATGCTCATCACAATTAATCGATTCTCTGCGCTTTGTCTCAAGGATAAGTACGAAAACGTAGGTGTTTCATAAGAGAACAATTCCGTACCTCTTTTTTGATCTCGAAACGCCATCTTATTTGAGCTACATCTCTGGGAACTTGAGTGTAGACCAGCACACAATAACGGTGAGATTAATGGTGGTCTCTTTTGAAGGGAGGCGGGAGAGGTTGCCGTGAACCACTTCGGTCCTGCGGACCTACTGTCATTCCCGACATTGGAATAATCCCTATTCCTAAATTTGCGACAGCTAAACGATCAAGAAGTGCATACACTCCACAATAAAATTGAAAAGATTCTACTTCATTATCCCTGGAAAATTCATATAGATTCTGCACATCTTCGGTTTCCACAAAATGCCATTGAATGTTTCCAAAAGCTCAACTCGGTTGAATAACTAGAACAGTGTTTTAGGCCCAAGAAGTATGGGTATTTTTTTTGTCTGAGAATTGCAAAAGTGGCGTTCGTCTGCCTTCCAAAACTGTTAAATAAGCTTCCAAAAACCCTATAATTTGGGCACGAGATCACTTCGTTTCGAAAATGCTTGACAAATACAACCACCAGGTTCGCTCCCTCCGCCGAGTTCGGAATACGACTTCCTGTCGAGGTTACATAATTTAACCTTCACAAAAGCCAAGATGGAACAATGGAATTTGTCTTTGAGAATGCATTTGAAATTGCTAGGTTTATCGCATGAATTCTTCATTGAAATGAACATAATAAGTTAATAGTAGTCATTAGACAAATCCAAGAGTAGGACTAATCGTAAGGTCAATTGCATCCACCACAACATTTAACGTGTTCTTCCTGTAAAATGTGTCGATTGGTAAGTTTAGCGTTGTCAGTTTTGGAAGCGGATATTCATCGAAAGATAACCATCAAGGCAATGACCTTTAGTTAGAGTGATAGAGAGCGTCTCGAAATATGGTATAAAGACACCTTGAAAACACTCTTTCCTAGTTATGACAAAGGATTAATGATTTTCCCTTTTTATCTGGTGTGCAAAACTTAGGGACGAGATGGATAAAGTGACATAAAACACTAATGACTGGTTGGAAGTATAGGTCGCAAGTCATGAAAACTTCATCATGGAGGAAACAGCAGTTTCAAGAGTGTTTTACATTTCAAAACATGTTATCCACAACACTTGAA